TAAATTTCATTGAAATGGAATAATTAGTACTTTAGATATCAGGTGTGAAAGCTTAAAATTGGTTAATTAGCAAATTAGGTAATCAATATATACAGATTTTAACCCACAATTATCCAGGTCTGTCTATTGTCTACAGCATCCATGTACAAACATTCATTGATATGTAATGTTTAGTACCTGAGATATCAGTGTGAAAGTTGGTTAATTATGCAAATTAGGTAATTAATATGCACAATTATTTACCCTAAAACTAATCAGGTCTCAGCATAGTCCTTGAGTATGTAAGTACCAAGTTTCATTGAAATGTAATGCTCACTACTTATATCAAATGCTGAAAATTAATTAATTATGCAAATTAGGTAATTAATATGTACTGATATTACCATAAAAACTATCAGGTCTGTGCAGTGTCATATGACATCTATGCACCAAGTTTCATTGAAATGTGATGATTAGTACTTATATCAAATGCTGAAAATTAATTATGCAAATTAGGTAATTAATATGTACTGATATTACCATAAAAACTATCAGGTCTGTGCAGTGTCATATGACATCTATGTACCAAGTTTCATTGAAATGTGATGATTAGTACTTGAGATATCAGTGGAAAAACCGAAAATTGACTAATCAAATTAGGTAATTAGTATCCAACAGTCATAGAACAGCTAAAAATTAGCTAATTATCATGCAAATTAGGTAATTAACGAGCATGGATTTTTACCAAAACCTAAACAAATCTGCGCATTGGCCCAGAGCATCTATGCACCAAGTTTCATCAAAAACCGATGTATGGTTCTTGAGATAGCAGTGGAACAGTCGGACACACACACACATACACACACACACACACACACACACACACACAGACACACTAACTGCAAAGACTCCCATTATGTGCTTCGCACATGGGAGTCAAAAATTATATGACATGTATCGAAGTTGCATTATGTTCAATAAATGTAATGCAGTTAATTAGTTTCAACACAACTAAGATTTGGTTTGGGAATGGGGAAAATGTGTGATGCATTTTTGACTCCCGTGTGCGAAGCACAAAAGGGAGTCTTTGCAGTTACCCTGTCTGTATGTCTGTATGTATGTCACTTTTTTTGTTCCACCGTTATCTCAAGAACCACTAATCAAATTTTGGTGAAACTTGGTAAATAGATACTCTGGGATAATGCGCAGAGTTGATTAGGTTTTGGTAAAAATTTATGAATATTAATTACCTAATTTGCATGATAATTAGCTGATTTTTAGCTGTTTCAAAACTGTTCCACTGATATCTGAAGAACCATTAATTGGATTTTGATGAAATTTGCACATGGATGCTATGAACTAGTGTGCAGATTTGATTAGTTTTGGGTAAAAATATATGAATATTAATTACCTAAGTTGCATGATAATTAACTGATTTTAAGCTGTTCTATGACTGTTCCACTGATTTTTGAAGAACCACTCATTGAATTTCACTGAAACTTGGCACATGGATGCT